AACACATACATAAGAATACTGAATAAGTTTTAGTTATCATGACGAAATTCTTAGGGCTGTGACGAGATCAACATTAATTGACTTAATCGAGTGTAATTACAAACCGTAAACGGCGTCTGTAATGACTAATGAGATTTTGAGGCATAAAATTTAAGCTTTATAAATCTTAAGTCGTAAGAAATTAATCATTCATAGTCAATTATTTTTCTTTCGACTGTGATTGATTAATTTCTTACGACTTAAGGCGTAAGTTTTATACACTTTAAAATCTCATTGTAGACGCACTTTATAGACATAGACTGATAATTTCCGCATAAGAGAAGTGTCTGGAGATTAGAAAGAGAAATATACTTTTCAGATACTTCTCTTTCTCAAAATATCCGAAAATCACATATTAGTTAAACGTACTCATTTGAAAAATTTTCGATAAGTATACATTTCATATGTTTTACGATTCACTTTATACGTTAATTTAATATAAGATGAATATGTTAGAAAGTAACACAAATATTATATAAAAAAATTAGATAATACAAAAAGTGTAATACTGACATAATTTGTAAGTAAATTGGAAGCACATTTCATTAGTAAAATTAACATTTATGATATGTTAAATTAATGTATTATATTTTATTCATTTATGTTAGAATTTACATTTTTACAAATATTATTTTTATGTCTTTCGTTAGTATTTATAAATTGTATTATTTGAACAAATTTTGAATATTAATGTAAAATACAAAATATTCAAATAACAATCACATTATGTTAAACTGACACTCGGATATGTTAAAAATTCAACACAAAATTTTAACAAGAACTTGAGTGGACCGATTTTAACACAAAACGTTTTTCACTGCGCGTTAATATTATGTCAAAATTAAAAGCGACAAAATATAGCGGAGTACAAAATAAGGTTCTTCTCTTCGAAAATATATATGAAAAAATAATTAAAAAAGTACGCAAAATAAAATTTTGTAATATTTCGTAGAGAGAAATAACCTCAATAAAAAACATCTAGTACGTTAATATATGTTAAAAAATGCGCGTTTCCGGATTTTTCTACAGAGGGAAGTACAGATACAATCTTATTTATATTGTCAGTCCATCTGTGTGTGTGCGTGTGTGTGTGCGCGCGCACGCGTGTGTGTATTATGTGTATCTATACAGATGCACATAGAATAAAAAGAATTAAAATGGCACCGTCTAGAATAAATAATATTTTGTGGATACTAATATCATCTTAATAGAATAGTTGAATGATAACAAGACACAAAAAGTGTTTGTCGATACTTCATAAATTTCGACGAGCTGCTGTCGAAGTACTGACAATGATAATATCAAAACTTTTGACATGCGAGCTCTAAATACTTAGGCGCATAATTCTCGTTACTCTTGGAATTATCGGCTGTCAAGCATGTACTTATTACGACAACAGGAAATAATAGGCGCGCCGCGATAACGTAATCCCGCGGCTGATTTTCCGCGGTCGCCGCACGGCCATGCCGCGTTTTACATTCAGGCCGAACTACGGTGATAAAAGGAGAAGCAGGACGTCGATCTATCGGGCGCGAAAATTATAACGCGGAAAGTCTTTTGTGCTCGACGAGTTAAAGAGTTACGGACACGATTGCATGGTCGCGCACACGGCGTTTATGCGACGCGACAGAAATAAGCCCACGGATGCATAACTTCGGCGCTTGATTTTCTTTTTCCTTATTTCTCATCGTTTCACTCGTCTCGAGAATTTCGCCGACGTGATTTTACCATTGCAGAAAGTGGAACAATAAGGAAAAAAAATATTATGAAGGGTAGAAATGCTAAAACAATTCGTAGATACCGAATATTTTTTTTTAGATTTTTTTTAGTATCTATTAATTATCTGTTTATTATCTACAATAATTTTTTGTCAAAATAGTTTACTAAATTAGCAACGTATGTACGTTGAAAATAATAAGATATAATGAAATATTGCATCTTTGATACTCGCGTTAGACTTTCAAACGGACGAAGCAGTGTCATCATAACAATAATTACATCTTGTTAACATGGAGCATATCGTATGTGATAAATTAAATATTATTTCGCCTCGTAGTTGAAAAAAAAGAATATGTATATACATGTGTGTTATCTGCGTTATTTGTGTAATTTCATTATGAAGAGATCCCACGAGTTTACATTTCCCTAATCCGGTTTGTCACGCCGTTTGTGTTCATCTTGTACAGACATGTCTCTTTATGATAATGATACGTCAGTGTAGTGAATTCCATATACTTTTGCTATAAACTTTATCTAAGCTTCAACAATTTCCAGTATTTCCAGTATTTCCAGAATTTCCAGTACTTTCAGTATTTTTTCTATTGCTAATCGGTATACAAAGAATTAATAGTAACTTCAGAGATATGAGTTTGATTCCCGGGAGCCTGTGGCATGAATTTTATGAGCATTTTTATGTGCGAAGCCAAGGGATACGTGCGGGAGTAAATAGCGCAGTCAAAAAAAAGAATTTTAATGTCTGCAGTGCAGGGATTATACCGAGTAAAATAAATCGAGCCACGAGATTCTTGTTTCTCTTAATGTATATTTAGTTTTAAAATAAAATTATACACTACGATACTATATTAAATTTAGATATATTTATAAAAATGTATATATATCATGTTTGATTACATAAATAATATAATGAGATATCTATTTTAATTGATTATTTTTTTAATATTTCAATAACAAATGTGATTTTTTATTATCTTTTACAAAGTGAAAAAAATAAAATCTCTTCGCAATCTGGCGTAAAAAATAGAATCTCTTCGCAATCTGTTAATATAAATTGTTAACATAAATTAAATACTATTTATACATCAACCATTATTTATTATATTTCTTATTTTTAGCCCAATGATTTACCGTTAACTCGTTATTAACTCAGACTTAACTATTTATAATCGCAAAATAGTCAAAATATAAATATACTCATATTTCAGATTGGATTAAAAATGAAATGAAACTCGACGAATAGACATTAAGCACAAATGCAATGCGATGAGAATGCGAATCTAATTCGTTGTAATGTTTTCAAAGTGCCGTCTGAGTGCTTAGCAGAATGTTTAATAAATCTGCCAGTCCTATGTTTGCTACAAAGTCCTTGCAATCAGTTGCAATTACCGATGAGTAATGCACGCCAGATGTCGAACTTGGCAGGTGCACATGCGTTAGGTAATGCTTAAAGGTTTCTTTGGTCATTGCACTTGGCACAAACGGTACTATGTATTCGCTCCTTGAATGATCCAAGGGAATTAACTGCAGTATCCCGATGAAATATTATTCATCACCAAGAAATAATTCTCCCTTATGAATATAAATTTTTTTTATAATAACTACCGATAATTCGAAGAAAACTTTTATATATTTTATTTTTAATTGAGCTACTCTGATAAACACTGAGCGAATATTACACATTTTAACTTGCAGATTAAAATCTTGCAGATGTGAAGATTCAAAGAAGAAACCTAATTTTTTGAAGGAATTTTTTAATTATTTCCATCAGAGAAAGTATAGAGATTTTTATGTTGCTGAGAATTGGAACAGATATTTTTGTTGAATAGTATATTCTCGGTTTTCGATTAGCTACTAAATATATAGCTACTAATCTCTAAAATATTATAAAAGCTCGATATATATTAGAAATACACATTTCAATGCAATAGATAAAAATACTAATTACAAATCGCGAAAAATCACCAAAAATTTATAAATTCTCGATTTCCATTTATAATACATACAACATTGATTCAAATCCATCGAGATAACGAATAACCTTATTCGAGGATACACAAATAAATATTAAAAATATTTATTTAATACAAGTATCGATGTTTTTCTAAAGTTTCGTATGTTTACGAATATATTTAAAGTGCAAATAAAAATAAAGAGACTAAATTTAGATCAATATTTTTATGCAAGCGTTATCAGAAGTATCGAAATTTTTCTAAAACTCTTGTATTTTCGCCGAAAAGACTTTCGAACATATTTACCGAAAATAAATAATTATATTTAGATACAGATTTTTAAAAATAACAAGAGTGATCGCGGAATAACTTGGATCACACCTCTCTGCATAATCAGAGTGTTTTCTGAAATCTTATAAAAGAATTCTCATATTTCGAAAGTATTTTTGTTCAAAATGTCAGATTAAGATTAGAAAATCTCTTAATGCAACTTCAAAATAAATTGAAGTCAAGCACAACCCAAAGTCAAGCACAAACCATATATTAAAAATTAATAGAAGATAAGAATTCAACGAGATTATATTTATCATTTTCTACAATTAGTCACAAAATGTATAAAATAAGGAAAATTATTACTTTATCGATTCATTGTCTTTCAATGTTACCTTGATATTTGTATAAAAAAAATACGCGAAACACACAAGAACCGTATATAAATATACGAATGTATATGTTATTCTTATTCTTAACTGACATTTTGCGTTATTAAGAAAAAATGATTAAAGAAACGTTGTTTTCAGAAAGAAACATAATTTAAATTTAAAAGTAAAATTTCCAAAATTTATCTAAAATGTCTCGATAAAATTTCATGAAAAAAAAATCTTTGATTTTCAAGGATAAAAAAATCCCCCGAAAATTCCAAGTTTCTACGTTTTCCCAGACAGTAAACACCCTGATAAATGCCATTTATGAAACGTTCACGCGCTCATTGAAAATTTCGGAGCTACAATAGCGCGTGCATCAACACGACGCCGTCAATCCATCGAGCATTGAACACACGCGGGTTCACCGTGACATAAGACGCGCGGCGGCATCGTAAAGAAGCGCAGCAAACAAAATTAGAGAACATAAACAAAATTTTACAAAACGCAAAAATCGATATTTCAACCAGTGATTCCTGCTTCTCTCGTGTTTCGAGCGCTCGACGAGAAAGCGGAAAGAAAAAAAAAGGGGATGATTCCGAAAAACCCCGGGAAAAAATAATGACTGACTCACCGGCGATTACGGTATCTTGCAGATTGTATTTAACTACGCCGGCTTTTCCGACTTTCGGGAAGTCTTTGAGCTTACGGCCGCTCAGCTTAAGCTCGCCGCTCAGGTGCGCCTCCTCCAGGATCCGCTCGAGGCTCCTGGTGAGCTGCTTCTGTATGTGGCCGCTCATGTTCGACGCAACCATCGCCATATTACATTTTTCGGACACGAGCACACGCGACGCGGTCCGCAGCCAATGCAGCGGCCCCGACGATGCGCGACCGGAAAGGCGGAAGCGGCCTTCCTGGTGTAGCACCCGCGCGCGACGCGCGCTCCGATCCGCTCGTGTTACGGGAACGCGACAGAGGAGTACACGGGTACCACGCCGTCCACTCCCTCGAATGTCAGTGCCGCTACTGATCGCGCACCGACTCGGTAATCGGTTTCGGTGTCGGCTACATGGCGAGCACGGCGTCGCGTTCATCGCATTCTGTGAGCGATCGCCACGCTACCTGACGTCGGGCGAGGCACCGTCGTTATGACAACCGAGGGAGCGTCATTCAAATTTTAAGCTCGTATGAAACAATCAAGAATCGAAGATTGCGAAGATTGCGAATTGAAAAATAGGTATCGAACAATTAAATTTGTACCAATTGGTCACATTCTAATTTTTAACTTGCGATCTTCAATCTATGCTGCGTAATTTGATATTGGTTTCAGTAGATCTTTTGTACTATCCAACATTGCATTTTTCGCATTTCTACAATAAGCATAATTAAGTATTGTAAGAAAGATGATAATTAGAAGAAAGTACATAGCTTCTAATTACATAAAGTGTAGCTAGAAAGAACATAAATGAATTATAACTTTTTTTTTGTTGTTAGAATTAATACTAGGACACTATCAACAATTTATATCTATATATATTACGTGTGTGTGTTATGTGTGTGTATATATATATATATATACACATTTTAAAAAAAGAAATAACATTTTGAAGAAAATAAATTAATTATTTATAATAAATAAATTAATAATAATAAACAGAGAAGGGTTATTATAATAATATTAACATATTACAACAAATCATGAGATCTCAGAAAATGATTATAAATTAGAATTTAAAAAAATGTATGATCCTGTCATTTTGGTTACTTTTATTCTAATATTAAGAATGTTATGTATATACATAACACATTAAGATAAATATTATCTAAAAGGTAAAATAAATAAATATTATCTAAATGGTAAAATAAAACAATTTTTCACGTATACGGAGATAAAAATTATTTTCTATATATTTTTTTCGTATTTTATATCACATATTTTTGAATGTGGACTAATATTTACAACTTGAGACATTTGTACACGTTTAAGTATTGCATATTTAATTTTTTTACCTTTCATTAATTATATACATTACTAATAACTTACTTATCGATTTACGTCGAGTATATTAAATATGTAAGTATAAACAATGCGTATATTAACATAATGCGTTTATAGCATTCATGATAATATTGCGCAATTTCACTAAAAAAACAAAAAGTATTTATTTGTTCTATAGTTAATTTTTCGATTTTTGAGATTTCTCTATTACTATTCCCAGTGATTCTTGATATTGTCTAACAAGTTGTTCCTGTACTTCCAGTAAGCAAGGACTGTATCTTGCATATTCCATAGTAAACTCTCCTTTGCCTTGGGTACTCGATCTCAATTCAGCGGAGTAACCAAACATCTCGTTAAGTGGCACTTCCGCCGTGATTGTGAACCATTCATCTATTACTTCCGTAAAGTTTATGATTCCTTTTCTCTTAGTGAGTTGTCCTAATATTGAACCCTATAAACAAACACGTGAAGAATTGTGTGTACTCTGGAAAGTAGTAAGATATAAATGCAAAATATAGGCAATATTATTGCACCTGAAATTCCTGCGGACCAACTACTTCAACCATCATGATCGGCTCCAAAACTCGCCAGATACCAGTTTCGAAAACATCTTTAACAGCACCTTGCGCGGCATGGAAGAAGGCAAATTCCGAAGAATCGACACAGTGATGCATGCCATCGAGTAATCTGAACTTAATACCAGCGAGTTTGTGACCACTGAGCAAACCTTTTTCACACATTGCTCTGAAACCTCTTTCTACACCTGGAATGAATTGTTTCGGGACATTGGTTCCTACAGTTTCATCCGAAAATTCGATGATTGTATTTTTCGTAGGTGGCAAGGGCTGAAAAAACAAATTTGTCTTCATAAAAAAAATATTGAAAAATAAAAAAATTTCAAAATGCGATATCGATAAATAATATAAACATTAATGATACAAATCTATTAAATTTATACCTCTATAATTCCAGTCACGCGAGCATATTGGCCAGCACCACCAGATTGTTTCTTATGAAGATAGTCAAATTCACACGGTTCAGTTAAAGTCTCGCGGAAAGAAACTTTTGGCTTTCCAAGAACGACCGGACAATTATATTCACGTTCTAACCTTTGTGCATAAATTTCCAAATGCAATTCGCCCATACCAGAAATTATACTTTCCTAAAAGATATGAGTTAAAACAACATAAATCTCAAAGATAAAAGTGATCTTTATTAAAAGTGATGTAAAAAATATTACCTTGTTATCTGTGTCATAGTGAAAACGTAAGGTTGGGTCTTCTTTAGTAAATCGGCCAATACCTTTAGCGAAATTATCTCGATCTTTCGAATGTTTTGTTTGTATAGACATAGATACCACGGAATCGGGAACATAAATCGATTCCATTGACAAATCTAGCTTAGAATCTTTGACAAAAGTATCACCAGAAGCACAATCTATTCCAAATAAAGCAAATATATCTCCCGCATAAACTTCTGTAACATCTTCCATTTGTTTTGCATGAAGTCTAACTAATTTTTGTGCTCGTACCTGAAATATAAAAAATATATTTTTAAAAAATATTTTTTAGTGATAATTGTAATGAGAATATTGTATGTTTATATACATAATTACCTTCTTTTGTGTTCTTGTATTATATAAATTTTCCGATTTTTTTAACATTCCTTGATAACAACGAAAATACGTTAATTGACCGAATCTTCCAGCTTCCAATTTGAATGCCAATCCAACGAAAGGGTTTTTGTCATTACGAGTAGAATCCAATAAAATTTTGGTAGATTCACCACTAAAATTTGTTCATAGATTATTACGTATATATCAAGCAAATCATAATAATATAAAAAGCTTACTCAGAGTTTTCTCGAAGAGCGTAATTCTTTATTTCTCCTGGATTTGGTAAGAAGTTTATTACCGCATCTAATAATGGTTGAACTCCCTTATTCTTTAATGCAGTACCAACCAACACAGGTGTAAATTTTCTTTTTATACAACTTCTGCGTATGGCATCCATAATATCTTTTTCAGTTATTTTTGTATCATTCAAGTATAATTCACCAAATGTATCGTCTGCATTGCTTAAGTGCTCGATTAATTCTTGTCTTCTTTTATTTACCTCTAATTGACATAATTCAAATTTAGTAAATTTATAAATTTTAAAACTTTATAGAATGTAAATGTATCTTGAACTTAATTATTTTATACCTGCGTTCATGTCCTTTGGAATTTCATCCTCCCTCACAATTTCTCCGAAATTTCCTTCAAAATAAATTGCTTTTTGCGCAATTATATCAACTATACCTTTTGTATTACTTTCCAAACCAATTGGCAACTGTATGAATGCAGCGTTGTGATGCAGTTTGCTCCTCATCTGTTGTAAAACTCTTTCTGGATTTGCACCCATTCTATCCAGTTTATTGATAAATGCTAAACAGGGTACGCTGTATCTCTTCATCTGTCGATTCACAGTTAGAGTCTGTGACTGGACACCACCTACAGCGCATAGGACGAGGATAGCACCATCCAAAACACGCAGAGCTCTTTCGACTTCCACTGTAAAATCCACATGTCCTGGTGTATCAATGATATTGATATTATGATCTTTCCATAATGTGTATGTGGCAGCAGATTGAATAGTGATGCCTCTTTGCCTTTCCAATTCCATACTGTCCATAGTTGCACCTATATTATCTTTTCCCTTTACCTAATAGCAAAAATTTAATGTTATTATATATAATTTATATATACAGATTGTTTCATTTTTTAATAATGCTAAAATATTTCGAAAAGATGATATGGGATTGAAAAGTTTCAGACAAAAGTTATGTGACTTTAAGAACATCTGCACCATCACCTATGGCATTCATTTGGTACTCTTGCAGGTTTCAGTTATACATCTTACTAAAAGTTATACATATTTACTAAAAGTTATCAAAATATCCACAACTTGTGAATTTTTTATTTCATTGTACGACAATGTTCACTTTCGTATAATGAAATAAAAAATACAGCATTTCATTAAAAAAAAATTAACTTTGAATGTCTCGAACACCTCCATAAAATAATTGTTTCTACTATATAATGTTCCCCTTTATACTGAACACGTTGATATGAACTATTTTTTCATATAAATTTTGCTAATAATTAAATCAGTCACTTTATATAAATCATCCTGTGTGTGTGTGTGTGTGTGTGTATGCTAAATTGATAGCACGACTCCAAATTATCAATTTTTCAATACAATATTTTTTTAATTTTTTTCTGAATTAGAACATTGTAATCAGAAACACATTATAGAAACAAACAATTAATTCATTTACAAAGACACGTGTAATTTTAAATTTACCTCGTGCATCTCGGATATTCTACCAGTATAATATAAGATACGTTCGGTTAAAGTAGTTTTTCCGGAATCGATGTGTGCCGATATACCAATGTTCCTGAGCTTCTCCAACGGTTTGTGTTCAGCAAATTTAACGGGCGATACAAAAAATCGCACATTTTGCTTGAAAGAAAAGTTACGCAGCATAGTAAATCATACTGAAATTTCTACGTTATTGAATTATGCAAAAGCGATTGAAATTCATAACCTAAAAATTTAGTAAAGGTAAAAATCTTACTCCGTAAATACACGGTCGCAGCTTCGATAACTGACTCAAATTGATGTTGCGACTTAAAAGAGTTACGATAGTCATGATTATCAATTTGTTTTAATATCAAAGACTTTTTTACAAATGTAAACTTTATTAATACAATTCCACGTGAAGTACCCAAGTACTCACTGTTCACAGCGTCTAACCCAAGTCATTCGCAAGTGTCGATCATGTTACCCAAAGTGTAAATAGTGTAATCAAAATTTTCAGTGATGTAAGACGTGATGCGCAAAGTTAATTAAATTAAAAAAGAACTTATTTGTGTATATATAAATTACACATATACATATTATGATACACGCAATTTTATCTAATGAATTGTTATGTTATTAATGACAAATTGTTATAATGTTATTATTATAATGTTTATTATTTAAAAATATAAGTAAATCGCGTTTTTAATGAAAAAAAAAATTAAGAATATTTAATAATAAGTACACTAAAAAATGTAATTTATTAAATAAAATAAACGTTAATCTTTTT